CCAGTCTATCCAGGTCATTCTGGATCCTAGCTCTACCCTCCAATTTGAGTCTGCAATTCTACCCAACTTATTGTCATCCACAAATTTGCTAAGCATGCACTCAGTCCCATCATCTAAATCATTAATGAAGAGGTTAAACATACTGGAACTAAGACAGACCCTTGATGACCCCACTTGATAACTCCTCCAAACTAGGCTTCTCCTAGTTAAATCAGTACTCTATTTTCCAGGTCTTCTAAAAATGAGTGCAAATGCCCGAATGAATTCTATTTGTTTAGCACCTGTGTACATCCTGTATTCTAAAATGTTCATTTTCATTAACATGCTAATGTTTTCAGTAAACAACTTAGAAGATGATAATATACTAGGTCTTAATAATTATAATAATGAAATATTTATGTCATTTGGGTTGCTCCCTTTTCATTACTGTCCAATTTTTATTAACATTTTGCAAGAGAAAGGTGACTCTCTAACAACAACACAAAGCTTTTAAGATGGGAACTAATCCTTTTGTGTATTTTAGAGAGTTTTTAAATGGGATCACACTAACACGTGTATATTTACAGGATCAGGGTCTGAATAGGTATTCACAAGAGATTATAATTGGTAAATATAAGCATTTAATGTCTATGATATGTAAATCCTGCATGCATTCTAGACTTCCTCATCAAGGCTTAGATGAATGAATAGTCATGTTGCAATACAACCTGCATTTTAAGGATTGCTTTGAAGTTTCTGGCTTTACCCCAGGCCACCTGTGTGACCCTGGGCAAGCCATTTAACCTTAGTGCCTCAGTTCCTTATCTGTAAAACAGAGTAAATATTATAAACTTTTTCACATCCTTAGTTCATATCATCCATATTTAGAGTGAGATTTTTAGGGAAGGCACTTCTACTCCACATACGTACAATACCTGACATGGTCACAGCCTCAAAGCACTACAGTAATAATAAGCAGTAGAAGCTGCAGCATTCAGTCATTATGTTACAAACCGACAGGTGAACATGCTTGATACAGTTTCTCTTTGTCATCTGTTTTGGTCCCTCCCTTCTCACTCATGTTTTTCAAAAAGTCTTGTTTTGAATTTTTAATTACTGTTACCACTATTTTTAAAACTCCTCCTCCAATCTCAGTCTCTCCTGTGTGAAGCCCCATCTGTCTCTAACAGTTTTCTGAAAGCGACTTTTAACATATGAATTTTACTATTATGATTATAAATTATGGACAGGGTATTGATAATCTAATCCATAAAGGATACAGTAGAAAATAGCAGGGTGATTTGTAAAATCACTTGAGCAGGTATTTACATTTAAGCATGAGTTACAGCAACAGTAAAGACTTGGAGTTCCAGTTTAGTTTAACCCTTATGCACAGGCTTAAATCCATCCTTACTGAAGTCCATGGGGCTCAAAGTTTAGCATGTTCTTAAACACTTGTTGAATTATGACTGAGAATTATTTCCAATTCTATTAAAAAGCATATTTATATTTGTAGAACTGATTAGATATTTTCTTCTTCAGTCTTCAAAAAAACAAAACAAATTCTGCTTTTAAAATGGGTGAATATTGAACCTAAGAGCAAATATCCAAAACTGAACTCATTAATCTTTTCTGCTTTGCTGCTTGTAAGGTAAGGGGAGTCAATAACCATAATAAATAGAAACTAATCAACGCTCCTGGTGTTAAAAGAAATCCATGATTTTTCTCAAGAGACTCTGCTGATGTCAAGGGGTAAAAATGAGATCAACTGCTTTGTGAACAGTACTAAAGGCCAAACAATGATGTGCTCAAGGTTTTCCTATTGTCCTCAATTGGAAAATTCTTCATAGTATGCAACTGAATACAGAAAATATAGTATTACTAGCAAATAGCCTTGTGACAAAAGTAACCTTGTGTTATTTAGGAGCAAAGATAGTGTCTTCACACCTCTCTGCAATTCACCTACTTAGAGCCTTGCAAATTCCATCCAGCTGTCTACTTGAATTACTTCGGAAACCTGGTCCAAAGCCATCTTAAAGAGGTAATATTAGTTTGAAGGATTACATTTCCATTCTGACATGTTAAGGACAGCCTCAGTTTTTTCAACCTGGGTTCTCTGAACCCTTGATTATCCAAATGGCAAGATATTTTTCTCTTACAAAATCTAACTTGTAAGTGGTGTTGTTTTAAGTTTTATTAATACGGTACTGAATCTCTGCTGTTAAGTTTGATTCAATATTCTAACTTGTAACTGTTGCTATTGTATATTGTTCTCCTTTAAGCTTTAATACCAAGCTCTGCTTCTCAGCTTGACACAGTTCTCTTTTAAGTTTTGCTGTATTTAATATCTCGCCTGTTAAATTTGGTGTGGT